TTATGTTAAACTCTGCTGAGTGTTAAAAATACTCAGGACCCTTGTTGGATGATAGACTCACTTTTAAAATCCAAGAGGAACACCCTATAAGAAAATTAAAGATGAAAATTGGATTTTCATATAGAAACAAATCTTGTTTCTCATTCACAAGTTGTAAGATCTTGTCTGTGCTTGATTATGGGATATTGTTAGTGGATTACCTGCTTTAGATTTATCCAAAACAACCTAATTGTTGGGTGTGGTGTTCTGTGTGAATAACAGAGTGTGAATGACAAGGACTTACCTGCCACATAGTCACCTATTCCAACTGTTGTCAGAGTAATGACGACAAAATAGGTTGACTCCAGAGCTGTCCAGCCCTCAATGTGCTTGAAAATCACAGCTGGGATGGTGACAAACAAGATGCAGCCAGCCAGGATAAAGAGCAGCGTGGATGCCACACGGATTTTAGTCTGACTGATTTGGTTTTGTTTATTCTGAGAGGTAAAAGCAGGAGAGGAGAGGGAGAAAGAGAGACATACACATTCTATCAGGAGTATAAGTTACTAAACCAGTCTCATTTTCAGCAGGGCTCTAAGTGTGATTGTAATCTGACAGAGGATTTTGTTCCTCATCTCTTCCCACCTTAGATTAAGATGCTTCTTGGACGATCACCTTAGCGTGGGAAAAGACAATCTTGATGAGCAGGGGTGATGCTACTTTTGTGGCAGCATCACCCCTGCTAATCGAGATTCCTTGTTCACCTTTTGGTTTCCTGTGCATAGTCCGTGAATACTCATAGTCTTCCCGTGCATTTGTGTGGCTTATATTCTTCACTTCTGCCAGCCAGCCATCTCCCATTCAAGTCCTCCAATGACTGCGTCTCAGGAAACTTCCTAACTTACCTCTCAACATATTTCTGTCCATCTTTGAACTTTGTCAAAAACCTTAAATTGTTTCATGGACAGATATATCCTGCATTTGAGTCTGCCCGTTTTTGTGAATCTATTCTACAAGGAATAAATTAAAGTATCTTAATAAGAATAAGTTGGAATGATTTTATAAACCGCCAAACCAACACATTATTGCATAAAACAACAAGGTTTCAACTTTTTTGCTTTAGACATTTATGTGTTAGGGTCTTAGTCTGTTACCCAGTTATTTTAATTGAGTTTTTTGGGCTTTCTGGTCTAGTTTTCTTTATGTAAACCTGCGATTCTTGGTTTTCTTTGGATTATATCAATCTATATTTTTCTCTTACTGTATCAATTCTGTTCTTGTTCCCTAGTTTTGTATATTATATTTTCCCTTAGTGATCCACCCTTTTATGTCAAGTCTCCATCAAGGATTTCCCGTTGTTTGGTTATTTCCTGTTTTATTTATTTTATTTATGTGTTCAGTTTTAATTTCACTAGTATTGTTTTCCTTCATGAGTTTAAGCTGTGTTCCCAGGTGTCACCACTCTGCCTTAACCACCCTTTTGTGTATTTATAGTTGCAGTCTTCCCTTTTATCTTTGTCTGATCAGCTGTTGTTTATCCTTATTTTCACTGTGTTCCTGCTCCCGGCTTTGTACCTGTTCTCATCCCTTCTTAGCCTGTATTCTGCAGTGTAGATTATTATTAGTTCCTGGTTTTCAGTGTTTGACTTAACGTTACCTTTTTGGATTCAACTACTAATCTGATAATAAACAGCTCACTTTAAATTTACCTGTGACTGACTCCACAC